AGAGAGAGAGAGAGAGGGGGGGTAGTGCATGTACTAAATCGTCTTTGTAAATCTCAGTATAGGGAATAGTATTCAGTTTGGTTTCGATTTGAAGTATTGTAAAGCACCCAAATCTCCACTAGGATAGGCGCTATTGAAATAAACACACAGTCGGGCATGTTCAAGACAGGGACCAATTATCTATAAGTTAAGGGATTGATTTAAACAAATGGAAGTTTCTGACAGTGTCATTATAACAGAGAATGGGCGGGGGATGGGGGAGAGGAATGGGAAGTGGTCTTTGTATAAAGACAATTGTCTTGGACAAGTGGCTGTTAAGCAGGTTCTAGCGTTATTCACATAATTTAAAATAACTCATTACTCTTATCCCTTGTCCTTAACTTTTGAAATTACCCATAATTATTGTGTAGAATCAATTGAAACTGTCTTTTGTTCAGACGCCACAGCAATTCAAATATTTAATACTAGCTGGGCCCCCTTTCGAGGAAAGGAATGATCGGTGCATTAACATCAACTGAAAGTCATTGACCTACTACATTTACACTCTACTAGAATGGAGCAATAAATCTTGAGAGATGCCAAAAATTAGAAGGTCTAGATCTATACTCCCAAAACAAAATGCGCCTCGCGAAATAGCACTTTGTGCTTCCGTTGTGTAGGACAGCTACGCAGATTTGTTTCGTTTCTTAGTGGAATAATCACAACGGCAAAAGAAGGACGGGAACATTTTGTCAAATATATTTGTGTAAATTCAGTAAAAGAATAAATAAAATATCAGGCTCCGTCATGAGGACCTATCTATCTTTATGGAGGTACTTGCCAACTTTTAACTCTGTAGCTGTGGTAGTTATATGGAAAAAGTGACAATTGTGTTTCCAAGTTGACAAATATATAATAGATCGTGCGACCTTGGGAGAGCAGAGACGCCGGACGGTTTCTACGTTAGCTACAGGTATCCCAATGGATGGCTTAAGTTTACTTTAACTCAGAAAACCTCAGGATGAAAGAAGGAAGATGCCACAAGAAATCTTATTTCAATGTCAAATACCAAAATTGATTTTTTTTTTTATGTAGAGGTTGTTTACACCCTGGTCAACACAATTTTGATCGTTTAGGACCATGCCAGCCATGGCCAACCCGGGCTGAAATAGATTTAATAACCCAGAAGAAAGACCGAGATATTCCATAAAAATCGTGTCCCCACTCAGGAATCGAACTCGAGTCTCCAGCAAGAGATAGTGAAGCACCTAACAGCTACACCCCAGACAACGATTCTATATCAATTTATTTTGATGCCTCACAGGAACACTCTAATTTCATCATGCAAACTCTAACTTACTCTGTCCGTGTCTATGCATTTCTCAATCCTTGCCCAAATCATAATACTTCGCATGTGACATTTTGTACTGCAAGCAACCTTATCACGGGTAGAGAGAATTTCTATCAAGCATAGTCTGTCTGGTGGTATGTTGTTTCTCTCTTAGCCAGGGTTGGCTATGACAGGCAGAGTCGAAAGCCCACGCCTCCTATATGATCTAATTTTTATTGATAGGGACGTGAAAACAACGACTTAGAAAGCATCCTTATTACCGGCATCTGTGGCGTAGCGGTTAGGCGCAGTGCCGTCACATGCATACGACCCGAGCTTGATTCCAGGGTTGGGAGATTTTTTATCGAGCATCAAGAGTTTCTGTTGGGATGTT